GGTACATCAGTAACAAAAATAGGACTAAGGAAAATTGGGTTCACTGCTGAACGAGGTGGGGACAAAGAACATAGAAAGGGTTCAGGAGGTCAGTGCCTTCTCTGCCTCAATCTTCACTGCTCTCAGGCCTTCCATGCCCACATGCCAAATAGCAAAATCTGGGGGAATTAAGTATAGCTACAGGACAGAAAGATGGAGGCAAGGGAACTTTAAGCAAACTGGACATGCATAAGTCCATTGAACCAGAAAGGATGCAACCAAAAGTGCTGAGGATGTCAGTCAGTAGTGTTGTGAGGGAGCACACATATTCAAAAGTTTGTGGTGATCAGGAGATACTCCTGTCGACTGAGGGGGTGGGGAGGGGGAAGCAAAGGGCAGGCCCACCTTCCAGAGGGCAAGGAGAAATCCCTAACTCTGTCCCTGGAAAAATTACAGGGCAAATTGTCCTGGAAAATATTTGCAGGTACATGAAGGGCAAGAAGACTGGTAACAGAACAGATTTATCAAGAGCAAAACCCACGGGACCAATGTGACAAGCTTCAATTACAAGATGATTGGCTCAATGGACTAACAGAGACCAGTGGGTTTAATTTACTTCAGCTTTAACAAGGCTCTCCAGATGGATTCCTATACCTAACAAAATAGCAACAACCTGGACTTAAGTGGACTACAAGGTATGTAGAAGGCTGGCTGGACCACCAGACTCAAAGGGTTGTGATCAGCAGTACAAAGTCCAACTGTGGCAGCTGGGGCTATCAAGCGTCCTATTGGGACCAACACTGTTAATCATAGCATGTTCACAGATGACACAAGCTTGGAGCAAGTGGTTGAACCAATGGAAGGTTAGGCCAGCAAACAGAGGGATTTTAAGCTGGAGAAATGGGAAGACAGAAACATCCTGAAAGTCATAAGACTCAAATGCAGTCTTACACCCAGGATGGAGTAACTGACACAAAACAGTGGGGCAGAGAAGGATCCAGAGACTCAACAGAACAACAGGCTGAACACAAATCAGCAGTATTCCCTTGTGGCAACAAATGTTAATTGCATACTGGGCTGCATTACATACCAGTGCAGCCAGATGGCTGAAGGTGTTTTTTCACCTGTATTCTGAAATGTGAGACCATCCGGCCTACTGTGTCCCAGTTTAGGTCCCCATTGTAAGCTGGACTTTGACATCTTGGAGGGCCACCAGGATGACTGAGGGCCAGGAGCACATGATGATTAAGGACAGGCTAAGAGAGCTAAGTTTGTCCAGCCCAAAGAAAAGACAGCTAAGGATATAAAGGGTGTTTTCCAACACCTCACAGATCATTATAGAGAAGATGGCACAAGACTCTTCCTGGACGTACCAATGAAAGGTCAGGAGGAAATGGACAGAAGTTGTAGCAAGGAAAATCCCAACTAGATAGAAGGAAAAATATTTTCAAAGTGATAGCTGTCTCACACTGAAACAGGCACAGAGTTTGCAGAATAAACATCCTTGGAGTTACTTAAAGCTTAAGTAGATAAAGCCCTGAGCAACCTAATATAACTTCGATGTTGAATGCAAGTAGAGGTTGGCAATGTTTTGACAGGAGGATGCACCACATAACCTCCAAAGGTCCGAACTAAATTTTTCTTATGATTTGCTTCCCCTTACAAACAAAAAGATAGAAGGAACTTGATCTTGATTTTCTTTATATGAGACCATAGGTTGTGCTTTATTCTCTGTGAAAAAGACTATATGAATGTAACTAGAAAACATTAAAAATGCTCTTTAACATAACATATCTGGCAATGAATTAAGAAGCGATTCTGAACATGAGGGATTTTTCTTCCAGTTACCATCTTGGTAGCATTCTGCTGGACTCACTCTTGACTGTCAACTTCTTTCTTGTACTGGGGAGCCCAAAACTGAAGACAGTACTTCAGATGTGGTCTCATTAGTGCTGAACAAGAGGGGAAGAATGACTTCCCCAAACCTGCTGGCTAGTCTCTTGCTAATACAGCCTGTGTTGCCATAGCTCTTTGCTGCTAAGGCACACTGCTGACTCATGTTCAACTTCTCATTGGTACCCTAAAGTCCCTTTCTGCAAAGCTGCTTCCAAAGGAGCTGGCACTGTTGCAGGGGGTTATTCTATCCCAGAAGCAAGCCCTTGCTCCCACTTTTGTTGAACTTCATGAGGTTCCCATCAGCTCATTTCTCCAGTCTGTCCTCGTCCTTCTGACTAGCAGCCCTGACATCCGGCATATTGATGCAGCTCCCCCCGCCAATTTGGTGTTATCCAAGTGGAGAATACAATCCAGTTGGTCACTCTGGTCATTACTGAAGACGTTAAACAGTACAGATCTCTGAGGGACACTGCTAGTTATTGGCTACCAGCTGGACTTTGCATCACTGATCACTTGAGCAAATTTTCCTGCCCGTCTTATCTTCCATTTATCCTGTCTGTATCTCACCAATTTGGTGATAAGGGGAGTATGGGAGAGTATGTCAAAGGCCTTCCTAAAGTCAAGACATACAACATCCACTGCCCTCCCCTTGTCCATAGCGCTAGTCATGTCCCCGTCATAGAAAGTAATCAGGTTGATCAGAAGGCTGGAGCACATGACATATGAGGAAAGGCCAAGAGAGCTGTTCAGCCTTGAGGAAAGAAGGTTCAGGGGAGATCTTATTGCTGTCTACAACTTCTCCTTTGATCAGGTAGTTGGAGACAGATGTTCTCAGAGGTGCACAGCCATAGGACAAGAGGCAAAAGGCACAAGCTGTAACATAGGAAACTCAAATCATACACAAGGAAAAACTTTTCTACTTAGGGGGTGGTCCAGACATTGCCCAGAGAGGCTGTGGGACCACCATTCTTAGAGACATTCAAGAGTCAAATAGACATGTCCCTGAGCAATCTGATCAATTTAGATCTGCTTTGAGCAGAAGGTTGAATTAGATGACCTCCAGAGGTCCAATTCTATCCTGAAGTATTCTATAGTCTTACAGCTTCAAACATGTTTAAAAAAAGTCTCTAAGACATTTGGTTATATTTTAAGTCTGTTTGATGACACCGCACAGATGTTTTCATAAAAATTCATTAAGTAAAATTTTTGTGTAACTTTTGCTGCTAAAGATTGAGAGATCTACTTTTTCACCAAATAATGTGATAGGCTGAAGAGACTGATATATTATCATTCTGGATGCATCTACTTCAGTAGTCCTACTCCTACATGTTTTGAAACAAATATGCAAAAGGGACACCATAAATTGAATTGAATACTTTAAAATCTTTCTCTCTCTGTTTTTCCATCTTTTTTCATTCCTCCTCCACCCCTGCATCTAAAACATCTGGCACAAAAACTTATTTTATATCTGACTATTCTTTCCTTAAAAAACCAAAAATGGCTTGCAAACAGATGTCTAACAATAATACGATTTTAACTATCTAGTTTTAGATGCTGCAACATCATTTTCCAAGAAAGATGGGTGGCTAGTAAAGTTATGGAGGGTAAGAAGAGGATTGCTACAAGAGTGGAGGAAAAAAGTAGCAAAGGAAATTGTAGAAGTTAATAATAGCGTGTGCTAAGTTTCTCTCCATTTCCATATGTTGTGAAGGACTGTCGCGGTTTAGCCCCAGCCAGCAACTAAGCACCACGCAGCCGCTCGCTGCTTCATGGCTATTTTTGATTCTTCAAATGGTGGTGTTCTGGAAAATCGAGGCTGCTATACTGAGCCAAAGAAATTTGTATTAGTACATTTGTACTGTACTCACACAAAAAAGCACAAATACTTAAATTCCATTACAAACCTCGAGCATCTTCACAAACAGAAAGCGTAAAAATACACAGATGTGCTTGGTTAGCCTAGACATAACTTTAAATTTACACTTAATTAAATTTAATTCACACTATTGATGGGAAATACATTTCTATTTTGTGTTATTTCTTCAAGAAAAATATATCAAGATAAATTAAGAAAATTTTTACATGTTTCAGGACTAAGAATTACTTTTTTCCTACAGGAACAAATCAGTATCTTGTGGGTGTCTTGATTTAGTTTGTCTACACTGAATATTCAGAAATAGCAAGTCTTCCATTACTAAATTTATAATTAAACAGCTTCTCACTAATGTGCCTTAGAATGACATCTTACTCTAATTTATGAGCTGGAAATAGTCCACAATACACACACAGTTGTGTATTCTTGATCACCTGAAGTTATGAAGATATTAAAATGCATCTAAACTCTTCCTCTATTAATCACAATCTGTAGGCAATAAAGATCTCAAAAAAAAAAAAAAAAAGAAAAAAACACAGAAGGAAAAAAGGTATTTCTCTTGCTTTCCCCCCTCCAGCAACCTCCAACATGTTTTCTGCCTTCAGCTTTGCCTTGGGCAAAAATAAAGGCAAGTGGTCTCATATAAACAGTAAATGCCAACTCTCTACTCAATTCTTTTTCATTTTACAAATTGGAACTATATGGATGTTTTTCTTCCATTCTTCTAACACAGCTAAGTCATCACTAAGAAAAATGAAGAATACAGCATAGCACCTGTATGAGAACAAAACTAATTACTATTTTTTGGCCTCAAAAGAAAGCTAACAACTCAGCAGGATAACAATGCAATTTTCAAAAGCTGTACCTCAGTCACTTCAAAACAGAATGTAAATCTTGCTCAAAAATACACTGTACAAAAATCAAATTGCAAGAGGACAGTACAAACTGTCAGAACATTTCTCAGAAGAAAGCCATAGCATTAACAAATTCCACATTTATTAACAGTAATTTATATTTACTATCCTATTTCCAAAAAACAAGCAGCAATACACAAATATTGAATGCACAGAGAACAACACTGCATTTTTGCATTAATCTCCTGCTTAGGTCATGGTCTTATCACGATTATTTAAAGTCAAGAGCAATACTTGGTTGACGAGGTACTGCAGTGCTGCAGGCTACAATCCTTACACAATGCCTAAAGGGTTATTACAGTGGAGAAATTCTATGGAGGACAATGAAAGAGCCTTACCCCTTCCCGAAGACACCTCATTAGCACAGTGTAAGTAGCTGAGGGAACAACCCAGCATTCTCTGGGGTGCTCCCTTTTTTCCTCCTGAAATAAAGCCAATAGCACAAATGAATAAATCAAAAACCCACAATAATCTCACTCGCATAAAAAACAGCTAACAGATTCTTATAAGGTTCATATTATACACATCTTCAAATTAACATATGCTAGAAAATATATTAAATTCTAGGGCAGTATTACTACTAAATGTTATTTCATGTGCAGCACAGAAATTGACATTTTATTAGCTTATTTAAATAGTCTCTGAAATCCATAACAGAATTTGTCCTAATATTTCTGGGTTTCATTGACTCCTTCTAATTCACACACACAAAAATATTCTTGCATTCCTCTTAATCATTTTGATTACTTCAGAAAGAGACAACTGATTATTAAAAGCAGTAATGCTTCTCTTTAAATGTGATTTAATTATACCAAACAAAGTTACTTTTGTCTGGCAACTAAAAAAAATATGTAAACTTATTTGGGAAAAAAAATATTCAAAGTCATACAGGGAGATACAAAAGTATTTATTAAAACTTACTGTATGTAATAGCCTTCAGTACATAACAACACTGTTCCAAGATCTTTATGTATACATCCTTGAAATCACCCTGTTAGAGAGGCTAATTCTTTGCTAGTTGAATGAGGGGTTTGTTTCTTCCGCTAGAAGTTAATGAACTCCACTTCCACCTCCACCCCACCCCACAGCCTACTGTAAAACTTCAAGTTTAAAAGACGACACTTGGATATCATTAAGATTTAACTAAAACAACCTCTATATCTAGGCTAGTAACACAGAGATATTAGCAAGTTAAAAAAAAAAAGCGTCTTTTGGGAAAGTGAGAAATAAAAGGCATTGGATGGTATGAAGATGATATGCCATGAAATCAATGTCTTATAAGTTGACAAAGGATGACAAGCAACAATTCCTTCAGAAATTATACATTTCCTGAACTCTATTGTTTATATTATTAAACTATTTTTAGCATTCTAATTAACTGTTTATAATAAAAAGCATAGGATGGGCAAGGTGGAGGTTAACAATGCGGAAACAACTTATACTTTTTGAATTTCCTGAGTGGCCTACACTAATTCAACATACATGACGTGATAATGTCAAGCATTTAATTAAAGCATGGCACACTAGCAGGGAGGACTATTACTGAATTGCCTACTAAAATTAATTTTCCTTCTTTATTGGAAGTAAATCAAAACTTTATTTGCAACAGGTATCAATAGAGAAAATGTGTTTGTTAAATGTCCCATTTTTTAAGCTTTATTTCTGCTAACTTTGTATTAGGAGGAATGGAACAATTTTCCTTGGAAGTATTTACAGACAATAATAATAAAAGTGTCTTGATGTCCAACAGAGACATAAGATCTACTACATTCCACCTCCTTCATCTTATCTGAGTAACAACATGCTGACATTTAATCACAGTTTGTCTTCCAAGGCTTAATGTATAAGTTTGAGAAAATGCAGCCCAAATTTCAAAGAAGGATAGCAGGTTACTTTGTAACAGTCAGAAGTGGAATCTTCTCCACCTGGAAAAGGCAGGACAAGACTAGGAGTCAAGACAGAGTTAAAATGACAGCCTATGCTGGAACTGGCATTGCTCTGTTTCTCGTTTCATTCATCTAGTTTAATCAGAAATTCTGTCAAGTTTTTCTGTAACCATACATATTAAATGTAATATAAAATAAAAAGCCTTAAGAAATAGTGCAGTTCTGAAACATTAATAGTTCCTCCATTCTTCAGACTGATTAATGACTTTCTGCAAGGTTTAGTCTCTAGTTAGAAATTAAAAAAGGCAAAAGGTGTATAAAACTTAGCACCATTCTTAATTACCTAAACACACCTACACAATTTGACATTTAAAAAATTTAAATATATCACCAAACACTGGGGGATCTTCCTACTTTTTGCCTGCAGCCCATGTTGATTTTGATTAAACTTTAGGTTCTGCACCCTAATAACACAAACAGCACAAACTGAATAGAAATATTACATAGAACGTGAAAGTTTTCCCTCAAGGCAAGTTGCTTAAGAGTAACAGAACATCCTCCTTCAGGTCTGTTCATGCTACTTGTGCATTGCTCTTGGCTTCCGTTTGGAAGAAAAATGTAGATACGGAGCAGAAGATCTTACTTATGAGATCTCATACGCAAGCACACGCACCATATCAGAGTTTAGGATTGCAGAGGACCTTTACGATAATCTGGACTTTTTCACAGTATTTTTCTAAGCCACAGAAGTGCAACCAGTGATCCTGTATTTAACTTAATGAATCATGCTGCACCTAGACAGCTGAACTTGATTTTAAGTGTTGATAATTTATGATTTCCCAAGTGTTCATCTGAAAAAGAAACAATCTTTATCGTTATTTAATATTAATATTGTGGTTGGACCTAGAAACATTTAGCAAAACCACAGAGGGAATAAATAAATAAATAAAAACAGCCATGTCCCCAAACACCCTACAGTTTAAATGATAAATATTTAGCAGCTTGATAAAATAATCAAGCAGACTGAAGAGCAAAATGGAAGAAAACAAGGAGAAAAAGGCAAAAAAAATTATTTTGTGTACAGTTCCTAATGAATCAGATGCAGTTATGATTTTTTTCTTAAATTAGTCAAGGAATAAAGCTTTGCTGTTTAAAGATACAAATTGGGAATAAACATTCTTGTTTCATCTTATACTACCATTGACTTTGTGTGTGATCTTGGCAAGGTCATTCAATACTACTGTTCTGCAGTTTAATGAGCAACAAAATGCCTACAACACTACAGTATTCTGACGTTAAGTAGGCACAGTATAGAGAAATTAAAAGCTTTATAAAGGGCTTTTCTTAAAAAAATTTTAAAAATAAGTTAGTATCTCCAAGCATACAAATCACACTGATATTTTTTTTACCAAGTTTTACCAAGACACAGTGCCTTGAGTTCATATGTGTAGAGTAGTTCCAAAATTTCTTCCTATTCTCTAATAATCTTGTAGTTATAACTCAAAGCAATGCAACCCATTACTATAGATCTTCCTGAAACATGGTAGAATTGTCATTTAAATACAAGTTATCATGCTTCAAACATTATGAAGTTCATAAAGACGTAGCAGACTCAAAATTTTGTCAGTTCACATTTTCAGAAGGGGGAAAAAAAATGTCTTAGGGTCAGTGCATGCAAATCATTTTGTTATTATAGAGCCACTGTAAACAGACTTGTTTCAATCACTGCAGTTTAATTACAAAATAAAATCAAGCTGTGCAAAATACTCTTGTCAATTATAATTTTCAAGTTGCAGTTTTAAGTTTGTTTGTTTTTATTAGTGGTTAAAAATTATACAGTTTGCGGTCTGTCTGATGATGCTAAGTACAAATTTCTTCCCCCTGAGGAAAACTGAGGAAGTATTAGAATACATAAAAATAAACTGTGACTGTGGATTTATTTTCCATAATATAATTTCTCAGTGTTAGAACAAGTTCTGTGACTCTGTGTGTTTGATAGATATTTTGGCAATTGTCTAACCAGAAAAGGACGACGCTTGCTAGCCTACAAAAAACAAGGCAACCATTTCATCTTGTGGAACATGCAAAGGAGCTAGGGATGAGGACAATAAAACATGGAAGTTCAGCACAAAGCCATAACTACAGTAAGCCAAAACTCAGATCTATTTGGTATTTTCATTCCTTTATCAAGTGACCTGGCAGACTGATAACTAACATGATAGCATTCAGAGCAATTAGATGATGCAATTAATACAAAGGCTTCAGAGAAGCTAGGGCTAGGCTTTTTCTGTTTGAAGTCACCTTCATTTCCAATAACTAAAAGAAAGTACTTTACTCTTTGAATAAGGGAAAAGAAAGGTGAGGGTTTAGAGGAGCTGTCATCTTCAAGTCCTACTATTAATAGTATCTCTTTTCCTCTGTTTATTTTTAATGTGAATCTACTATTTCTAGACTGAAGGTTTAAATTAGTTCTAGTCAGGAATCACCATAATTCCATTTGAAATTAGTCAGGATCATTCAATTTCCTTTTCCACAGCACTGTGAATCCAACCATGCTAGAATAAGATCTGATATGGACTGGATACATTCATTTATTTATATCATGGGCTGTACTGATACATCCTATTTAATCAAAGTCTCTAGCTAAGACATTCTAACACTTAGATCTGCCACTTGGAGGCCAGCAGTCATTATGGTGATTAATGAAATTGTTTTATGAAGTTAGAACTCTATACTTGAAGAATGCCATTTAATCTATCTCAGATGAAGTACATGATTGGACTAACATGTTTCTTAAAATAGAAAAAGTATCACAGAACATACATGGACAAGAAACTGTTGCGGATACAAATGACAAAGTAATTTGCCTTTTTTGTCTACCTTTCCATGGGAAATTTTTTTGATATTTATTAAAATTTTAAGGATCACGTGACAGTCTTACCTCGCTGGCTATGAGGTAAAGAAGCTCCCCAAGTGCTGGTAAAAGGCATTGTTTCAATTTGCTATTTCTGAAGTTCTCTCTGATTAGTTCAGTTAAAAGTATAATTGCCTAAAACAAAAAAAAAAAGAAATCCTAGAACAACATGTATAATCTTTTCTCCAGCAAAATGCACTGTTAAGGGTAACAAGCTTTATCTGAAATGCCATCTTACTGATATCATCTTACTGATATACTCTTCACTAAAGAGCCATTGTAAAGGATTTAGTAAGCATGGAAAGACAAGAAAAAATAAAAATTACAAAACAGATTACATATGCAACGTGGAGAAAAATGCAATGAGGAAATAGTCTAGGTGACAAACTGTCAGCTATCCCTTCTTCCCTTTCCCTCAGGACAGTAGAAGTAGATCTGCCAGGGAAGAAAACTCTACTTGCTGTTCCTATGTTTCTATCAGAAGATCTAAAAGTTCTCCTCGTCATCAGGTTACAAAACCAACAAACAGCAAAAATAGACAATGCTGTCTTTTGTGTAGATATCACATCAGGAGATAGGAACTCAAAGATTTGTCTCCTGATCTCTGAGTTTACTGGCGACTCACTGCATGAGAACTGGACATTTCATTTTAGTTTTCTGTACCTCAAGAGTTTCTGTTTGCAAAGCGCATACATAGTATTTATATTGAGGGGGTGGAGGGAAATTGAAAATTCTGATTCATCCTGTGTAGGTGACCTAGTAAAAAAAAAAAATCACTTTCCCATAGACATATGGAACAGATTTCAACCCAACATTTAATGCTGGATTCATTCAAGAAACCAAGGATCATTTAACTACCGCATATTAAATTAAAAAGCATGCTATCTGCTGGCTGGGGTGTGCTCCCCAAAACCCAAATGCGCTCCAATATGTACCAAGCATATAGTAGTACAGAAGCCATTTGTTTCTTTAATTTAGGAAAGATGGATCTACATGTACCCCCTGCACCAAAACATTCATGCCTTGCAAGAGTAGGAAAAGACGACAATTCAGCAGATATGGTTTTAATACACTTCCTATGTCCCTTAAGTAGTTCCTTTGACTATTAGGAAGGATTTAGTTCTAATACTTTTAAAGTACTTATGAGATACAGCAAATAAGCTCTGTAAACAGATACTGTCAGTGAAGTCAGTGATTTCCAATAGTTTGCATGATATGCTAAGTGAGATCTGAAGTTATTTTTATGTACTCTGTACTTTAAATAAACAGTAATATTGCATATACTATTCCATTTTAAACCTTGGAAACAGTCAACTTTTTAATTATTACTTCTGATGTGAAGTGTGATGTAGTTCACACTATTTTTTTTATTAAACAGAGAAAGCATTGCTGTAAAGTATCTTAGTGTACAGGAACAGGAAAAAAATAGTTCAGGCAAATAATGATACTTATTGCATATTCCACTATTACACAGAAAACAAGGCAATAGAAACCATCATTTTATGATCTCCTTTAGTATAACAAATGGAGCATGAATTTTATTTAATTCTTCTGCTTATGAACTCTTCCTTTTCCCCTTTAAACAGCAGAAACATTATCAGCAGCATCACCAAGACATTTCATGTGTTTATTTTATGCTTTAGGAGAGAACGATGGTGGTCTTAAAAATGGACTTGTTTAAAAATACTTTGAAGTAGGATTAACTCTGTGACAATCCTATCCCAAAGCCATTGAGTCCAGGTCTTAAGATATTGACACTGCTACAAATATCTGATAAGAAGCACAAATGTTTATACAACAAAGATCATCTAACTAATCAAATCATAACAAAATAAGTACTGGATCACTCTAATAGACATTTTATTGTTCTCTTCTAGTTTAAAACTACTTTTAACATGGTTAAACAATAGGGAAGAGTTAATGAGCTGAAAAAAAAATTCTCTAGTGTTTCTCCCAGTTGAGCAAGTATTATCTGTATACAGAGCATATGGAGCACAGACTTTATCACTCATCTCAGGGAACTCAACATTTACAGTCCTATTTGAATACAAAAAAGCAGCACTTCAACCCGCACAAGGGGTCTAAACAGCAGCAGTTCTGGGAAACCACTTACTTTGTGCAGTCAGTTTCCCAAGATATTCTCAGCCTTTGCAGAGGATTTAAATGGAGAACCTGATAGCCATTCTTGCAGACTGGTCTCAAATCAATCCAACAAACAGACAGGAATTTTTCAGTTCTGATTACGGGCCTGCTAGTGGAGGCTCCTTTCTCCTTCCATGGAAGATCCAAGTCTAACTCTCTTGAGCATTGGCTTCACTGCATTCTCAAGGAGCTGCTCGATTCACTTCAGCTGACTGAGTCCCACCACCCTAACACTTACAAGCTTCATAGTTTTGCCTCTGTTAAGCAGCTTTCCCTAAACAGAAAAAAGTACTCACAGCAGACAGAACCTTTCAGGTGAACCATGAGAGATGGCTCAGATAGCTGGTTTTCAACACAGCTGAAATACTCATATAGCCCAGTGTACAGCAGAGACTAATATTTCAGACAGTACATTTAAAATCTGGACTCACCTCACTTGGTGACCTGGAAAAGTCAAGAAGTTCACAAAATCTGGTTAAACTGTGGTAGTTAATCTGTGATTTGTTTGCCATTATGTGTTCTCTAACTCTTTCATGTTCTTAACCAACACATTTCAAGCATGGGAGATTATGTGACATTATTATCCCATATATATCCCATTATTATGGGACGGAGTTGTGGAGACAGACTATAGCCAGGGTTGAATATGAGGCCACAGAGAGGGAACACATGCTATTGCTGACTATAATGCCACATTGCACATTTTTCTGAAGTGGAAGAAAAGACCAGCATAAAGATGAATGACAAAATATAGCCATGTTCATATACCTGCATTGTAGCTACAGCAGCAGATCTTACTTCCAAAGTTTCTTCTGGTGCTTGACAAAGGATTGATGCAGCTCAGAAACAAACAATAGATACACACACATTTTCTGGACATAACCAAGGAAGTGGTGTAGCTTCTATGTTACAAATGTAGGAGCAGGAAAAGCTTGGGAAATGGGAAGCTTGAAGTTGAGGAAACAGATGTAGATGAAAGGACAACAGGGATGCAGAAAGAGACTAAGGGAAGTATATAAGGTTAGGAGTTCAATCTAGAGTGATAGAAATGTAACACTGTCATCCGTATGAACAATTCACAGTAAAGCTCACAAGGAATTTTAGTTTCTTTTGTTAGAAAACTGTGGGCCAAAGCCACTTCAGTACTTACTCCCAAAGGAGAGAGCAAAACAATCTACAGCCCTTCCTCTGAAAGGGATTTAATGTGACATGCCTTTGAAGACATGTGTGGTAACTGAAGGATGTAACATAAAAGCTTTTCAGAGTTACAAGACACATGCTCTTTACTTTGGGTAGCACAGCAAAAAAATAATTAAAAACTAAAACAAGCATAAACCACCACCACCAAACAAACCACAACAGCAACATTGTGGTTTTCTCACAAATCATGAGAAGTGTTTGGCCAAAGGCAAAGATCATCCGAAATAGTCCTGGCTCTCTACTTTCAAAACATGCGCTCTCCTCCCACTACCTCAAAAGGCCAAGCAAAACACAGTCCCATCTAGTCATTAAGCAAGAAGCAGCTAAAAGAAAATGTTACTCAGAGGTTTTTTTCAGCAAGCTAAAGAAAATTGTGATTTTGAACATAAATCCCTTTCTGTATAAAGCAATGCATATAAATGCCAAAACACATATGCTGGCTGCTGATGACTGCAAAGCAGATAGCAAATTTGTCATTATGCATGCACCCCAATAAAAGTGTAATACATTATTAAATCCTTGATGGAGTATACATATATTACATATCCACCAATAAGAAAAAGGTAAAAACATAATTTAGTTTTTATCTACAAAGAAAAAACACGTAGCAAAACAGTATAATTTAGAGAGTATTTTAACTGAGAGGTGTGCTAGGCAGGAGACAAAAATTCTGTTATTTTCTGGGAGAGGACCAGTAATAGTGTACATAATCTTGAAAAAAACAGAAGATAAATTCATTATCATCCCTGACTTGCAGTTCAGAATATCAGAACATCCTAATATTATCCTGATACAAGAAACTGCCTCAATGCTTATGAGCATCTTATAAGTCACTTCAGATTTATTGCAAGACATCATCTTCTAGAGATCTTTATTGGAAAACTACTTGTAGATGTTGCTGAATTCTGAACTGCTTTCATTACAAGGTTTAAATTTTTTACAATGACAAATTCATAGATACATAAGATCAGTTGCTCAGTAAACAAATATTCTTGTCTCCTAGATACTTTACTAATATTAAATGCAAGGTATGTTTTTGCAACTTATAATATTTTTGCACATAAAGGCTAGATTCCAGTCTCCAACCTTACTGTCATTTGCATCTATATAGAAAGAGGCAAGATATTGACACAACGGCCTCAAAAGCTCAAAGAAAATAATCTGTGAAAATCAGCCTCATTTTAGCAGACTTTGCAAGAAAATATTCTGTGAAAATCCTGTCACAGACATTCACAAAAGCATATAGGGAACTGAAAGGTGAATCAGGTTGGGGGTGGAGAGGAATCAGGAGTTTACAGAGTTTAACAATCATCCCAGGAAACAACCAATTCCAGTCCTGAAAGTTATAAAATCTGCATTTTTTTTTTTAAATAGTTTACAGATATATTTGGCAGTACAGCACTTTTTCTTCTCCAGAGCACTAAGGAGATTTTATCCTCAACTTTCCTTGATTTTCTTTCACCGTCTGACCTTAACAGCTTCATAACATAACATGAAACTTTGTACAGGGAAATCATATAAAAACTGGAAATGTAGTCTTCAAATCAAAGAAACAAGATCTACTAAACAAACTTTGACCTTCTCCCTTTTTTTATGTAATGCTATGTTCATTAACTGTTTTCTTTAACTGCTTTCAGAACATTTCTTCAGACATTATCAGGGAACTTTAAATAGCCTGCCATTCAAGAGAGAGCTTCACTTTCATATTTAAGTAAAGAAATAAATGTATCAGCAGGTTTTAAAGCTTCTAATATATCAGCTTGAGAAAGTGGCAGTCAAGTTGGTTCAAGTAC